AGGGTTTAGAGTTTAGGGTCTAGGGCTTAGGGGTTTATGGGTTTATGGGTTTATGGGTTTAGAGTTTAGGGGTTTAAAGGGTTTAGGGTTTAGGGGTTTCCGGTTCAGACGTGCTACCTCGACCGCCCACCGCTAAACCCTAAACCCCTTGCCGCCCGAACCCCTAAACCCGAGACCTCGAACAGCTAACCCAAAGCCCCTAACCCCTAAACCCGAAGCCCCTATTCCCTAAACCCTACCTGTAGCCGAAAAGACCAACCATTTTAGTGTTCCTTATTATGGTTCCTATATACACTTCCTTAAAGCGATAGGTCTTTTGGGCCACAGGTAAACCCCAAAGATCCTAGACCCTCAACCCTAAACCCTGAACCCTAAACACTAAAGACCCTAAAGACCCTAAACCGTAGACCCTAAACCCTAAACCCTAAACCCTAAAGACCCTAAACCCTAAAGACCCTAAACCCTGAACCCTACACACTAAGGACCCTAAACCTTAGACCCGAAACCCTAACCAGTAAAGTTTGCAGACAGGAGCCATGCCTTGCGCCCTGCCCCTTTTCTCTCCCAATGTAGGGGCCTCGATAATTTGAAGAATGTTTTTGGGTTTAGGGTTTTGGGGGTTTTGGTGTTTTGTTTTACAGTTTTGGGGTTTAGGGTTTGGGGTTTAGGGGGTATTTTTACATTGCATGATAATTATATAAGGAGGATAAGATGATCTCTGTCATTTCTGTTGTAAGCTATCCCGACTTCTTTATATTCTGTGTAACAACTACCGGGCCATTGAAGAGAATGAACTTTACAAGCAGCTCCCAGAAAACGGGTCATGATCACCACATCACCTGAAGGAAAGTAGCTTATTTAATTCGAATGTTGAAGCTTCCAGTTGGGGATGAACACACCTCAGAAGGCATTCTTCAAACCGTCTGCGGCCCTAAACCCTTAATTACTACTGTTGATGATATAAACCCTGCGTGACCTTAAGGACCCGAAGTATGCTATATTAATAAGGAATAGACCATAATTCCCATAGCTTCCTTATTTTGGGCACTGCAGGGTTTATGTCATCAACCGTAGTAGACATGCTCGAGCCTGCGGTCGGAACCCTGCAATCTCCACTCTAGGCCTCTCGGCACAACTCGCCAGGGCCACGGAGGTCTGAATAGTTCGTCATGTAGTCATCCTAGTCGTTACAGCTGTCTCTGATATCTATAGCATGCTGTAGAGGAAGTTCCTATAAGGCCCTATGGTGCTATAAATAATAAACTAAGGAGAGTGGATTGTACCCCAAAACCCTGTTCTACTTTTTTTCAGGCTCCCAGATTCTATCTGGGTGGTTGTCAAAATTATGGTCCCTTTTTGGGTCCTTATTATAATACGGCACCTCTTATTTAGGGCACCCCAAAAGGGACCATAATTTTGACAACTACCTATCTGATGCAAGGAATGCCCGCCTGTCGCTCCGCTGCTACGTGCAAAGCGTAGAGGACCGGGACCGGGGGGTTCGCAATTCACGATTTCGGTAGTTCGCTAAATTTAGGGTCCCTTTTTACGGTACTGTTTGTAAGGGTGCCGTACTGTTTTGGGGGCCTAAAAGGGACCCTGATTCTGAGAACTACCCATGTAGGGCTTGTTGTTTTAACGTTACCCGACAACATAAAATCTTACAGACCCTAAGCCTAGACCGCTCCCCCTCCAAAGCCCACAATCCATCAGCCATGTGCATTGCCTAGCTGAAGAGTCCAATTTTGTTAGCTGCAGAGAACCACAGCAGTTACGTCAACATGGAATGTCAATAGTCAGACCAGCAATAGCAAGAAATTAAAGCAACTTACCACCGCCACCACCACCACCACCACCACCACCACCACCATCACCACCATCACCATCACCACCACCATCATCATCAACATCATCATCAACAGCATCATCAGCTGCATGATCATCATCACCATCATCATCGCCATGATCATCGCCATCATCAGCATCATCAGCATCAGCATCCTCATCACCATCACCATTATCATCATCGTCAACATCCTCACCCTCATCGCCATCACCATCGTGCATCAGCACCATCGCCTCCCTCCTCCTCCCCCTCCTCCTCCTCCTACTCCTCCTCCTCCTCCTCATGATCATCACCACCCTCATCGTCCTTCTCGTCATCACTGTCGTCATCATCGCGATCATAACCAGCATCATCGTCAGAATCATCATCAACATCTTCTTCTTATCATTAGTATTATTAACTTATTGTTAACCTTCATCTTTATCTTCATCATCATCATCACCACCTTCACCATCAAAAAAATCATCATCATCATCATCATCATCATCACCATCATCATCATCATCATCGTCGCCATTATCATCACCATCATCATCATCACCATCATCTTCATCATGATATTCATCTTCAACTTCATCATCACCATCATATTCATCATGATCATCTTCGCCATCATCATCATCATCGTCATCATCATCATCATCATCATCATCATCACCATCATCACCGACATCACCGTCATCACCATCATCACCGACATCACCGTCATCATCATCATCATCACCATCATCATCACCATCATCACCACCATCATCATCTCCATCACCATCACCATCAGCCATCATCAGCCATCAGCCATCAGCCATCATCATCATCATCATCATAATGATGATGATCATCATCATCATCAGCCTGAGCATAATCGTCGTGTTGCTGCTTGTTCTTTTTCCTTGCGTCTCCTTGCTTTAGTAGTGTTGCTGTTGGTGGTCCTGGCGATGCCCTGGTACTGATTGTATGCACTGCTAGCTTTGTGTTTTCATGTTTATCTTGAGGGCGCATTGAAGTTTACTTGTTCAAGCGGAGGTCATCGCAACCCTCTGTTTTCCTCAAACAGTCGGCCGCCAATGGTCCTGGAACGCAACAACTATGGTCGCAGCTGTAACAGCAGTAGCCGTCCGGCGCTGGGCAATGATTTGTAGTGGCAGCAGGCGTTGCAGAAGCAGCAACAAGCCCCCTTTGTGCAAAAGCATGAGTGTTCGTATCCTCCCTTGAAGCCCACTCCAGATAGCAGCAGCTGCAGCAGCAACAGTAGTCCCAGTAGTTCTAGTAGTGGCAGCACGAGTTGCACAAGAACATCAGCTCCCTCCCTCCCCTCCCCGGTGCCAACGGAATAGCACAAATACCGAGTGGGAAGCTTGTATAACAATGGGCAAACGACATGAAATATCGAAAATGTCGAGTCGAAGCCAACAAAGTGCTGGAAGTCTCGAAAATACCGACAGCACTGGAATATTGCCAAGTTTTCAACACACCGAAAGTGCGAAAACACTGTAAATATCGAGACCAAAAATCAAAAAATGCACGGGCGCGGGAACCAGCCGGCGGGCATAGATCCAGCATCAAAATCATTAGCTACTAGTGCAATTGCGGAGGAGATACCACCTTGGAAGCAGCAGCTGCCCAAGCAAAGTCCAGTCCAGAGCTGCGTAGCCCAGGAAAGTGGCAGCGCAACTCCTCGATGCCTTCAGAGGCTTTCAGATTCCAGGACTTCCTGGATTCAAGGTCCTTGTACCTTGCAGTTTGGGGTCTACCGGCTCCCGGACTGCAGGCTGTCATTGGGATACTTTTACCTCCCCTTCAAAGCCAGGCGTGTAGGCTAGAGGGTTTCGACTCACACACTCGCAACCGCAGGCATGGCAATAAGTGTCCGGGCTAAAGGGTTTCAGCACTCACAACCCGGGCTAAAGGGTTTAGGGTTTACAGGGTTTAGGGGTCCAGAACTGACGATTTTGCACCGGCAAACCCCAAAGACAAACCGTGCCAAAACGCAATACTGCAAGTCCGACAGCCCCATGAAGGAAACTATGCTGACAGCCAGTCAATATATCATAACAGGTGTTGCATGCAGATCCTCGGACAGGCTAGAACTCTCAGTTCAGGAGTGTTGGAGCTGGGACTGCAGTGAAGCCCTTACTAACAAACCCTGAACCCTAAAGCCTTACTTAACCCTAAACCCTACAGCCAAACCTTACTTAACTGCATCAGGAAGATGTTGGCCCTCACCCGTCGAAAGCACAGCGCAAAGCCCCGAACATCCCGAAACCCAACGCAACAGTTTTGGGGTTTGCCTAGGGTTTGCTTGACTTGCAACAATGAACCCTACGCCCTAAACCCCAAGAGTCTAATCTGGGGTTCGTGCTGGTAGGTTTTAGAGTTTCGGTCAGGGCTTTAAGCGTTTAAACTTTAGGCCGCTATCCGAGATGCTGGGCTTCTGGGCAGCAAGATCTTCCTGGCAAGCTTGCACCAAGATGACCTCAGATCCACTAGACCCTCGCGTAGCCGTCGACTATAGGGGCCGCAGTAATTAGAATAGGGTTTGGGGCCCATTATACTAAAAGTATAATAAGGAACCCCAGAAATCGTAAAGGTAATTAGTTAGGCCCATTTAGGCCCCTGTATAACTCTGGGCCTGGCCCCTGTCTGCCGGGTTACCATGGCATGGTGGTCGCGGTGTCCAGCCTGTTGCTGTTCCCAGCGGGGGCTCCGAACGATGCAAAGTTAAGGGTTGTTTAGGGTTTAGGGCTTATAGGGTTTAGGGTTTAGGGTTTAGGGCTTTTAGCGTTTAATTTTCGAGATCTAGAACCCTAAGGCCCTAAGGCGCTCAATTCGTGCAGGAAGCAGGATGACTCGCTTAAGGTACCCTGAGGTCACGACTAGAGTTGGATAGAGTTGAACAAGGCTTCCAGAATCAAGGGCTGATGGAAGCGATTTCTAATGTAGAAACTTACACCTCGTTCAGGACACGCCATGTGTCGAAAGTTCTGCGCCAACTGAACAGCGCGTGAGCTCGTGTTCTGCACCAAACGACTGCCATCAGCGGTGCATGAAGTGTGCGCTTCATGACATAATAAGCTTTTTGGAAAACTTGGGTCTCGTCAACATGATTCAGCACGGAGTCTCCAACCTCTAATCCGAAACTGAGAAACGGGCGAGCCTGTTGGTACTCCTTCAGCAGCAGATCCTGCAGCTGTTGAGAAGCTGCTGGGATTCGAAGAGCATACTCTGAACATCTCTGAACCGTTTCAACGGGCTCGACGAAGGACCCCGAATTTAGGCGCCAGGACAGTCACGACATTTTCGGGGAAGCTAGGCCAGTTTCATCGACTATTCAACACTCTAGTGCTGGGTACCGAAGTTAGTCTCTGCCGAATGAGCCTCTGAATCGGTGTGTGCCTTCTGCATCTTAATACCAAGGTCATCCTAACTTGGGCACGTCGGCTCCTGCAATGGCTTTTTCTCGAGACTGGCAAGAACTCCTATTGAAATCATCGTGAACAGCCGCACAGCAGCGCAAGGGTTAAACAGCTGGGCTTTGGGGAATCTCACAGTTTGGCCGATATGGTGGCACTGTTGGACTTCACTACGAATCTGCAGATCGGGGACGAAGAAGATACTCTGCAGACGTGCGGGAAACGAGCATGGCAAGTTCCGCAATGCCACGAGTCCTCCAGAGCAGAACGAACTCGGGGTGCGTGGCTGGACAGAAGGCGCCGCGCGAGCTGTATCTTTGAGGTGCAGCTCCTCAAGTTTCTGTTGGACTTTCAAGTCCGAGTTTCCTGTCTGGCCCTGCCGGTTTCCGCAATGTGGACAAGAAGCACAAGCAACCTGGATAATATCTAAGTCTCAAGTCCCCGCCACCTGAGACGAAAGAACCACGCCCAAAAACCTACTCTTCTGCAGACCATTTCCCCAGAAGCCCAGGAAGTTCCAAAACCGAACATAGGGGCCTGCGGCCAAACGTCATAGACTGCGGCTTTGTGATATTTTGTCGCAGTACACGGACGACACATAAGAGCATGACCACTATTCCGATCCAGTCTTCCAAGTTGGCAAATTCACGGAGCTCCTCTTAACCCGCCACGAGAGCATCAGAAAAGAGTCGGCGGTCAAAACAGATCCGACAAGGTAAGACATGCATAAGACCAAACTTCGACTGTCTTCGACTACAACAGTGCTGAGAAACAGTCAGCCAAAAATACCCTGGACACTAAACCCCAACAATACCCTAAAGATTAAACTCTAAACCCCGAAAACCCTAAACTGGAAAGCCTAAACCCTCTAAGCCCTAAACCCCTCAAGCTGCAAGTGCCTTGGCAGCCAAAGCTCAGCAAGGACCCGCCAAGGCATGACTCGAGCCACTGCAACGCAGCAACTTTCGCCTCTTCATGGTTCGCTGCTGTGCCAGTGGCTAGGTAGAGTGCCATGTCCAACTCTGCCTTCAGGGTTTATGGTTGTTTAGGGTAAGGTTCGGGGTTTATGGTATAGGGTTTAAAGATATATACAGGGTTAAGGTTTACGGGCAGCTAGCTATTCGTTGAAGCGTTGGTCGCTTTGGGATGGGGTGACCAGTCCAGGGTGCAACGAAGAACCTATGTCCAGCGAGAGCAGAGGTGCCGATCAACCAAACACGGTTGAGGGTTTAGGGGTTGAGGGTATGCATGCCGAAACCTCCTTCAAAACCCGTACTCCGCGACCGTACGTCTTGGATCGGCCTCCAATCCGGGCGTCTGAACCAATGTTGTGCTGAAGAAATGTCGGACCGCGGCCACTTTCTCTTCGTCCACCCGCAACTCACGCTGCCCGCTCCGATCGAACCTCGGGGGTGGTTTAGTTTAAGGGCTTAGGGTTTAGAGTTTAGGATTAGGCTCTACGGAATCGGATTTAGGTTGCTGGCGGAAGGGCAGGATTTGGGTATTCCGACGGTAGGTTTGGGATATGAAGAGATGCGCCTAATTGGGTCGCCAAGCACTGCTCAAGCTAGGCCAACACTAGGCAAACCCTGTGTTTAGCCACTGCCTCAACTGGCAAGTTCACGCCGCGAATGCGCAAAGGCCGACAAGTCTGAACAAAAGCCTATCCTTCTTTTCAGGGAAGTATGCTGTAAACATTATAAGCCTCATGTCTAGGGCTCTTGGGGTCCCAATGCTGCTTGTGATGCTTCTGCTGCTGCAGGTGATGAATTGAGCTTTTAAGTTCTAGCTCGCCAGCTTTGCCAAGTCTCATACGCTGGTACCAAGGCTTACTCCCAGGCCATAGGCCCAGGACAATCTCGCCAACCTGGCTCAACTGAAACCTTGGCAGGCTGGGCAGCGAAAACAAACCGACTATTAAGGCCGCAAAGTTCTGTGGCCCATGGGCAACTGCCGAACAAGAAAAACTTGAAGGTTGTGGCACCACACAGCCGGGACTGCGAATTCGGACACTTCATTCAAACCCCCCTCTGGCAGAGAAGTGAGACCAGTCTGTATTCCTGGCAAGACAACATCCCAGAACATTAGTTCTACAAAGGCCGCCTGCCGGTCTGTAGAGCAGTCATTGCTTCGTAGAGCTGCTTGATCCTTAGGGCTGAGGGCTTAGCTTCAGAGGTGTAGGGTTTTTAGGGTTGAGAACTGTGTTAGTAGTGCCCTTGCCACGAGAAATAACAGACTGTGTCTGAAAGAAGTGGGTTGCAAGATGTTGCTACTGCTACCACTCACTATACGGCTACTGCAATTTCGATTGCTGAAACTATTGCAACTGCCTTAGCGCAGGAACAACAAGAGAAACAGCAACAGCAGCACGCCAGCACACCAGCACACCAGCACCATGCACACCGACAGCGGCAACGACGACTACTGCTCCCACTGCTACAACCTCTGCTACGACGATTAGCACTGTTACCATTCGCTTTCCGGTACTACTACTTTTTCAAATTTCTTTTTCCTTTCTGAAACGAGCACCAGTTCTGGTACTGGTGCCGCCACCACCGCCACCACCGCCACCTGCAGTGTGCCCTGGTGATGCCAGCCCTCTAGCCTGAAGCATTTGCGCCGAAATGCTTCTCTTGCTGAATCAAAAGTTGCATGAGAAGCCCCAAAACCCTCGAAGAGTACTTCGTGTGGATAAACCCAAACCCATGAAGCACATCGAGCTGGCAGTTCCGTGTTTCGCGCGTTGGGCCTACTAAGGGCCAAGGAGCTTGTATGACCAACGAGAGCTTCTGTTCTATCACTTCAGGATTCATTCAAGCAGGAAGGGCTGCTACCATTGTTGTCATTCTGTTGTTTGGCACAGTACACGCTGAAATACCACGAGCGTAGCAATCAGAAAAGAAGGCCTAAACTGTTATGACATGAATGTCAGGTCATCAAGCCTGAACCCGAAACCTTAAAACCCCAACCTAAAACTCAAGCCGACGAATTGACCTTGCATCCGCGACTCGGGGGCTGCAAATTAAGCGGCAGGACCAACTGGACCAATACCAGCCGCAACGACTGAAACTTCTCCTGGCCGTATATGTGTATATGTATATCTATCTATCTATCTATCTATCTATCTATCTATATATATATATATGTACGGTACATACACACATACACACATACACACACATACCCAAACACAGACACAGACACATGCACACACATGCACACACACACATACACATACACATACACATACACATACACATAACATACACATACACATACACATACACATATACATGTACATGTACATATACATATACATATACATATACACATACACATACACATACATATACATATACATATACATATACATACATACATTCATTCATACGTACATAGCTAGATGTGTATATATATATATACACGCACATACATGACAGTATAATGACAGTGTTGAAAGTAGTTCACATTCTAATGATTGGCGGCTGGGGTTCAATTTGAGGCTGGTGTGCGGCTGGGGCCATGGGTTCTACAGTCCGCGTGACTTGCTACACAAATTTTCCAAACCCCAAAGCAATACTCAACCCTAAACCCCTAAGCCTCTAAACCCTAGATACAAACTAGTAACCCCTAACTAGCCTTCGACTGAGAGATGTCGAGGCTGTCGAGGAAGCACGCTAAGAGGGAGCGAAGTTAATTGTTGTATTTTTTTATGGCTTTTTGTTGCGATTGTTTCTGGTTTCGGTTGCTTCTTCTTGTGGTTTTCGGAACATGGCCCCCTGGTCCTCATCGTCGCCACCATCATCCTCATCACCACCATCATCAGCGTCATCATCGTCATCATCATCATCATCATCATAGAAATATGTGAATGTATATATATATATATATATATTGCACATGCCCCCTCAGATGGCGATTCCTGTTGGTCATATATCTTAAACACGCTCCCCCATGTGGTGATTCCGGTACATCATATTTTATCTTACACATGCCCTCATTTTGTCGATTCCGGCTCATCTTATATCTTAAACGCGCTCCCTCATGCGGCGATTGGGGGTCAAACAAAATCCCCGGACCCTTGAGGCGGAGGGATTGGCTTAA